CCCTGCTCCTGCAGCACCACCCCCTCCGCCACCACCACCACCGGCCAGCGGTCAGCTCAGCTCCTCCCGCTCCTCCTCCTCCTCCTCCGTCATTCTCAAGCTCAGCACCTTCATTAGCACCTCCACCGCCTCCCCTACCGCCTTCTACTTCTCCAGGACCACCATCTAGGTCAACACCGCCTCCACCGCCAGGCCCACCTCCACCACCAAGTCTGCCACCAGCAACAAATGGCGCAGGTTCGTCTCTGGCGCAAAGGGCAGCTGTAGCAGCATTTGGAAGACAATCATCTCACTCAATTCTGGAGGCCCCGCCCTCGCCCTCGTCGCCTGTTTCACCGCCTGCTTCTCGACGAGTTTCACAAATGCCATCTCGATCTACACTAGACGCAAGCTCGTACACTCTGACCAATGGGAGTTTATTTGGTGTATCAAGCGGATCGAGTCAGATTAGAGTTGAGGATAACCGGTGGAGGTTTCAGGATGAAAGCCAATTACCTCCACCGCGCCCATTTACAGGTGTGCCGAAGAGATATCGTGCCGGGAGGGGGAGTAGTGTCCCGCTCGATCTTGCGAGTTTAGAATGATGTCGTCGGTCTGCAAAGCGAAACCTGGACTTCTCGAGGAGAGGATAGCTGGGCCATTAATCTCCTCGTGCACTATCAATGCTCTGATGTCTCGCACAAAGCGACCAGCATCCACCCCAGGAGCTGGCAAGATACGAATGAGTCATCCAATACTCGGATTTCCGTTCCTGTCACTACTGACTGCGGTAAACCCCTATCCATCAGCTGAAGCACGAGTGGGTTAGTGGAAATGATATCTGGACGTCATTATACGAAAGGGCTCTGAACGACAGCAGGGTACAAGGTTCTCTTGAGTACGAAAGGGTGAGAACTGGGAACATGCCAGTTGAGAAATCGAACACACCCGAGAACTGGTGAAATGGGAACATGATCTAGGGCCAGCAAGCGTCAGTCTACAGAGAAAATTCCAAGTAAAGAGCGTCAAGGCGTCGTCCTCGGCTTCAAAACGGAGATTGCAATCATCAAAAGCGTCAATCGGAATGATTAAAGTGTGGATGAAGTTGTTATTCAGACAACCTCATGCTGTGCTCTCTATATCGGTTGGCAGTCTGTTCTGATCCATCCAATGCCCTGACCTGAATCTACCGCACCCCGGATTACACATTTGGCAAATTGAAAACCTCGTCACTTCCCTCTCTCTTCTCATTCAGCGGGTGTTTCTCCCTAAAATTCACTCTTCAGAGAAATTTTTTTTTCAATCCCCTTCCCTAAACTGTCCATAAATATCTGCCTCACTCCCTTCTTTTTCCCAGTTTCCCTTCTCCCTTCCATAACATCACCTTGTCCGTCCGGCTCGACGATCTCCTGTTCCCTCTTCCTATTCAATCACAATCAATACACTACGTGGTATGTCTACTGTCCCCAGTCCTCCCTGGGCCACCTCGAGAGCGGGCGATGTCAACTAACAGGTATATACAGTCGATCTCAGCCCGAACATTCTTTTCTCAAGAACATCCCTATCCTCAAGCGCCTTCGATAAGAAAGCCTTTGCTGCCCTAAAGATGCCGATCAAATGGGATGCTGATGCTGATGCCCGGGTGAGTAGATGTCGCCCCCCCTCCAAGTTTGGGCTGGAGCTTCAACACTCGGCAAACACCAATTGCTGAATACCTCTTTCCGCTCAAGACTCTTTGAGCTCTATTTGGTGAAATAAGAAACCATAACTGGAAACTCAAATGACTGATTGGGATATCTCTCTCTTCTAGCTCTTTGCTGCGGTACTCGCCACATCGGAGATCAAAATTGACCACTCAGCAGTTGCACTGCGGATGGGGAATGGTAAGTCTCCATATGATTGCTTCAAGCTTCATAGTCCATTTCAGCCTCGTCAAAATGAATATGAGGCCGGGCACTAACAATGTCCACAATTACAGAATGTACCGCCAAAGCCGTCACACATCGCATCGCCAACATCAAAAACAAAGCGAAATTGCTCGAGGCTGATGGAACTGCAGCGGCCACTACTGCAGCAGCTGCTGCTCCGGCTCCGGCTACGAGACGACGCAAACGCGCGCCAAATGCCAAGGCGAAATCGGAGGAGCAAGTCCACGACTCGGAGGACGGAGACAAACCAGCGGTGAAGAAGAGAAGGACTGCAAAGAGTGCAAAGGCTGCAGCTGGTGCTGCGGGTACGAAGAAAAAAACCCAGCAACCAGTCGCCGCGCCCGTCAAGAAGGAGGAGGAAATTTCTACCAGCGACGACGACACTACTGCAAAGGAAGAAGACTCTGCTTGAACCTCGCGCCTCCTCCCCGCCCTGGCTGGGCCTCTTTCTCATGTCCTCACGCCCCAGTCAACATGTTGGCATGTCACATACATTACGGACGTATCGTTCGTCCGACCAGAATCGCCTCTCGAAAACAAAAGATACGAGCTCGAGTGAGTTAATGGAAACACCTAAAAAAAAATGAACATGGGAAGAGATAATCAACACACCGGGACCATCAAGGTTAAGAGCCGGGACCGACAGGATCTAGCCGGGAGACACCGGTCTCTGACAAGAATGTGCTTGGAAATTCTGGACTGACAGCAAAGGTTGGGATCTTGGGGGAGTTTTGACTAAAGTCCCCTACCATCCCTCACTCGCTTGCTGGACCTAGGGTCGGGATCAACACTGTGTGTAGCTGGTACTCATATCAACTTCTCAGGATACGGGGGATATGGAAGTCTGAGCTAAGAGCATGAGAAAAGAAAGAGATCGTCGGCGTTCTTGGCTGACTGAGTTGAATAGCACAGAAAAGGTCACATCAGCCCAGATCGAACCAGATCGAACCAGATCAGACCAAGTAAAGAGCTAGAGCTCGAACCCTGAATTGAGGAAAGAGATTCAAACCAAACCAAACCATACCATACCAAAAACAAATAGATAGGGACAGACAGAAGCACAAGCACAAGAAAAAAGCTCGATACCGACACCGTTTCCGATTCAATCTGATCTAGTGAGTCGGGTCGATTCGAGTCGAGCCTTCCCCGGTTTCCTGTTTTCTATTCCCACTTTCTTGCCGTCTTTGGCTTCTCGTCTTCTATTATACGTACGTAGTAGGTTGGAACATATCATTGATGGATGGTCGGTCAAACCTCAATCTCAACCTCAATCTTATCCTCCAGGTGAGAGGAATGGTAACAATACCGCCAGCCCAGGAAGGCAGGTAAGCTATCTAGCTGGCCGAAAATCTCGCTTGAGCCGGGTGTAGCAGTGTAGCAGTATTCCAGGAATCTTGCAACAGTGAAAGACGGCCCTCCGAATATACGAACGAAAAGTCGTAATTTGTATGCCCGTGCCACTCCAAAGAGAGTAGAAGAGAGTGACACGGTTCAACTGCACCTCCACTAAGCATACCCGACAAGGTACATACATACATACACATATATATATGGTGGTCCACCAGCCATCTCCTCCTCCCAATCGATCCATGTAAATTCATAGTGTCAAAGATGCATTTCCAACCAGCCCAGCAGCCAAATACCCTAGACCATTGGGGATCAGAAAAGCGCTCAAGCTCTCATAACATGAAGACTTCTCTGTCATCAACGGCTGCGCTGTGTTCTTCACCAGTAAGAGTCTCGGTTTCCTCCGTCGACAGTTTCAAAGGTTGAGGAATGTAAAACTTTCCCTGGGGGTTGTCAAACTCATGTTGACCGAAGATGCCCAGCCAGAAACGTTCCATGTAGTGACCTTCCTCAGGATTAACGTGCGCCAGGCTGTGAAAGTAGCTGTACGCTCGCTCGTAGACCGCTCTGGGATGTCGCTGAATAGTCTGTCTGGTCACTGCGAATAAAGCACCCTGCGTCCATCTGATCTCGGATGGCGGCGCAACCCATCTGGGATCCTCGTTATCTGTGGTGCCGTTGAGTATGTAGTTCCAAAACTGCTCTGGCGAGTATGGGCTCCGTCGAAGTCCCTTGCCGCGTCTCTTGATCCAGTCAGGTAGGTATTTGACACCGTCCCAGTCGCCGAAGGAGTGTATTTTGCCCAATGGTAACACGCCATCCTGAGGATGGTTCTGAATGCAAATGCTATTGCCGAGGAGGTCAGGTAATTCTGTCAAGCGTTGGGCCATCCGAACAATTTCGTCCAAGGGGAGGGCTGTGTGTGCCGGTGTGCCATCATTCGTGTCGTGGATATTGCCTTGGAGAAACAGTGTCACATCGGCAAGGTCGTCGTAGTTGTGAACGATGTGGTGGAGATAGGTATGGGATTCTCGACCCCAATTGGGCAGAATCTCAACCGCTCGGAATATTGACAGATCAGGTGGAAGTTTACCCTTACTGTAGACGGTTGCGAGGCTAGCATAGGTCGATAGCCACGTCAAGCACTCGTTGTAGTTGGCTATCACAAGGTCTAGCGGGCGGGGATCTGGGGTTGGGGGCAAAGAAGGAGAAGAGGCAATAGATTGAGAGGGCGTGAGCTCGGGCGTGAGCATTGTCGGCAAAGATGAGGCCATCGACGGTTTGGGCGGGAACGAACACAAGCGAAGAAGAGAGAAACTTGTCGAGGAGGTCTTCTTTGGAGTAGGGTACTTTGGGTATATAACCCGTACACAAGGCAAACACGGCCGCCCGGTAAACAGCCTGCGAGTGAGATGAGCAACGAATATTATCCGAACAGAGAGGGATAGAGTGAGAAATAACGTAAAAGTGTGTGGCGCAGAGCAAGAGGCGACGTCTTCAAACCTGATGGTGTAAGTCCAGGGTACCTGGAGGGGATGCTCACAACTATACCAAAAATACGTGCGAGGTACCTCGAGTGAGCATCTGGGAAACATGAAAATGACGTAGGCACACAGGCCTCTGGGAGACAGGAAGGTGCAATCCAGGGCTGTTAGCAATATCAACCCCTCCTATGGCCAAAGGACTTGACAGTCCCGATGAATGCCACATGCCCACCCTGCATCCAAGCTGATGTTCTGGGGTTGACAAGACCGTCGAGTTAGCCATTTCCCCGCTGTCACTAACGAGAAGATAGGCTGATATTCCGAGGAACTTATCGCTTATGCCTCCAGTTCTCGCGTGGCGCCCATCAGACGGTCAGCCACTGGGGCATACCATCATCCACAAGGCATTGAGATACTCTGATTCTAACAGACCCACCGTGATATCTAATCATAGAGCCTCTCGCAACGATCAAAGGGTATTATCACTTGGCCAAAATGAACGATATGGACGGAGATTTGGCATGATCAACCATCCATGAACAGGACATTTCCGAAGCTGAAGTTTGTTACAGACGGCGTGACTGTCGGGATAGCGCCGCAGACAAGGTCTTGGGCGCGCAACAAGAAGAAGGCGCCATAATACTAACCCAGTACGTCGATCAGGCAGCAGAAACGAAGGAAGTGGTTCTCGCGCAGTGGCATGTGGAGTGGGAGAAGTCTCGATTGGGATCTTGGGCGCCTGACGAGGGTGATACAGCATGTTCTGGCGGCCGCACAGATACTCCGCATTTTCTGAGGTCAGCAAATTTGTGTCAAATAAGCATCTGTCTGGACTCGTTCGAGGGCGCGGTTGTGCGCTGCATGCGAACTTTGTGCAACCATTGTGTATTTGAACACCAATTGTCCCTTTTTGGGCAGAAGGATTCAGCTTCTCTAGGACTAAGCAGGTCTCGAGTTGGGATTTTCTGGGATTTGGCACTTGGCAGCTGATGTTGCGAAACAGGCCACGGTCGGAGTCGAAGGTCACCCGATTCGGGCAATATTAGATACCCAGGTTGCCACAAGACCCCGTGGAAGATATCGGGGAACGTGGTGAGAGTGAGAACAAGAAGACCATCTCAAGAGGAAGTGCGTAAGTGTCAAAAGACAAGGCTGAAGGAAACGCAGGGCCTGCTTAAAAGCAGCCAGACGACCAAAGCAACTTGCCAAGCCTTTCTTGTTCTCCACTTAATTTTCCTGTACAAAATTCCTCGCGCCCAAACTTCATTTCCTCTTCCTTTTTTCTTTTCCTTTCCTCATCATCAGTAGAGGTGTTAACATTACCTTAACACCACCGGAGCTCCACCATCGTGTGGCTTGCTGAGGGTTATTCTTGTTTTCGACCATGGATCTCCTTCCGTTCCCGGCTTCGCAGAGGAATTGCACCGTCCTTTTTCCCTTCCACACTATGGTTGCGCAGTCTTTTCGATGGCGCGGAGCTGTGGAGGAGATGCTACAATGCTTTTCACGTTTATAAAAGAGATTGAAAGCAAGAAGAAAAGATGTCTTGTCATTCATACACCTGCTTTTTTGGGGGAGCATTGTGCGTGTTCCTGAGTTGGAATACGGGCTGCTGTCTGTCTGCACTTGTCTGCATGAGCTTTTATGCGCAGAATACCCCTTTGAAGATGCTACAGGGAACGATTGTTTCGTACATGGAGATCGAGGCTCCCGTGTTGAGGCCTTGAATATACCAATGCCATTTATACTACATGTGCCAATTCTTATCTTACGCCTCGCTATGCTATCTGGTTGTACTTTTTCAACCGGTTCCACCCACTGTAGGCCGTTTCATTATGGTGCGATCCGTTTTGCGTCGTGCTTGCTGTGGTGCATCTTCTCGTCCACCTGTTCTTCGTTGCTCAACTGCGCTCCAACCTGCCAGCCCTTCCCAACTGAATCCTTTCTCCAGTTCCCTTCTCATCACTCCTCAGTGTCGACCAACTGATGGCCCCGTCTTTCTTCGCTAGAGTAAGTTCCAGCTTGGTGCCCATGATCTTGAATTGACATTTGTCCGGGTCAACGGGAGCAAAAAGTGGTATATTCCTCGTGAATCTCTTCCCGTCCTGCGTGGGTAGATCTAAATCCACCGACAGGCCATCGTCCGTGAACTCGACCCGGGCCTTTTCCTTATCGATCTTTTTGAGGTAGAAGCTGACAATGACGCTGTTGGCAGTCTGGTAGAAATCACTGCGGACGTTTTCCAGAAGTTGCTCAGTGTCTGCCGACGTTTCTCCGTCAGTTGTGCCCCCTTCCTTCTTTTTCGGTTTCCCTATGTAGCAGTGCCTCTTTTTGGTTTTGCAGCCCTCGATCTTCATGAACTCGTCAAACTCGAGGACCCGTCTCTTGCAACACGTCCAGCCCTTACTGCCTTCGTGGAAAAGGGGGACGCCGGGATGGTAAACACATTCCTCCTCGTCTCGCGGCACATTCGGTTCTCTTGACTTCCCACAACCTCGTCTTTTACATGTCGCGTTAGAGGGGATTTCAGCATCTGGATCGTCAGATTCGTCTTCGGGCGGTTCCGGTTTTGGTGTAGCTG